AATGCAAATAGTAACCTGTACTCCAGTGTTCACTGCAGCATTTTTCACAGTAGTTAAGAGACAAAAGTGTCGATCAACAGATGAATGGATAAATAAAGTGTGGTCACTCGTAAGTACTGCTTAGCTGTAAAATGAAATGAAATCCTGAACCTACAACATGGGTGAACCTTGATAGCATTATGCTGAATTAAATAAGTCAGTTACCATAAGGTGAATATAGTTTGATTGTACTTGCATGAAGTTAGTACCTGTATAAAGGCCAAAGTTTATGAGTCGTTACCAAGCGAGGGAAGGGAAAGGGAAAGCTAATGCTTAGGAAACACTAGTTTCTGTTAATGGCTGTGAAATACTTTGGAAAAGGTTGGTAGTTTTGGTTGCATCGAATGAGGAATAAAATCAGTTTCATCGAACTGACTTGCACAGCTAAACCTGATGGAATTAGCAATTGTTTTGGTATTTATTAGGTGCTGTCGAGGGAATTCCGACTCATAGTGATCCTTTGTACAACTGGCGGAAACCCTACCCAATCCTGTGCTATGCTCACAGTTTGTTATGTTTGAGCCCATTGTTGCAGCCACTGTGCAATCCATCTCCTCGAAGACCTTCCACGTTCCCCACCGCCCCCTTTTATTTTACCAAGGACTAGTCTCTGATATGTCCAAAGTAAATCTTTTTATCTTGTCAGAACAGGGGTATACAGCTTCCAAGAGCTTTTTGTTTGTTCTTTCGGCAGTCCACAGTGCTTTCAGTCTTCGCCACCAGTGCCACCATTCAACGGCATCGATGTGTTTAGTCTTCTTCAGTCACTGTCCAGCTCTCACATATGTTTCCAGTGATTTAAAATCTCATGGCTTGAGTCAAAGTGACATCCTTGCTTTTCAATACTTTAAAGAGGTCATATGCAGCAAATTTTCCCAGTGAAATATGCCATTTGTCTTTTGACTGCTGCTTCCATGAGTATTGATTGTAGGTCCAAGCAATATGAAATCCCTGAAAATTTCAACTTTCTCTTATTATGATATTGTTTATTGGTCTAATTGTGAGTTTTGTTTTCCTTTTTTTTTGTTTTCCTTATGTTGAATTGCAAACCATACTTTAGATTTCAGTCTTTGGTTTATATATACATACATACAGTTGTATATGTATATATAAATAAGAGATAATGAAATATTGGAATGTCCCTGAAGTTTTTGAAATATATAATTCAAACAGTTCAGAGAAATTTCATTATTCCATTATCATTTAGTTCCAGTTTTCTATGAGGTATTGAAGCAACGTTATATTCACTATAATTAAAAAAGAAGGAAAACAACATGACCAAGAAAGGGAAGGTAGAAAGATCGGAATAAAAAATAACAAAAGCAGGATACGCATAGATACTAGTCACTGAGTGAAGCATAGAGATGATGTCATTAAGGAATGAAGAATAGAAGAGGAGAAACGATAACCTCAAAATCTGTTGACTACTAAAAGTTAGTATTATGAAATTCATGAAAATTAAATTTAAATTCTTTTAAGTCCAGAAAACCTAGACCTTCTATCCTCAAGTCAATTGCAACTCAAACTATTAATGTCATTGAGATAGTACTGCCTACTTCACATGAAAATAAAGTGGCATACCGTATGTGAAAGGCATCTTCTAAATAGACAATGTGAATAAATAAATGTTTCCATCTGAAATAAATGGAAGGATAAGGAGGCAAGGGAAATCAAAGACAGTAAAAATGGAGAAAGCATGAAGAAATAGGAAGCAATCAAAGCACAATGTCCAAGGTTGATTTGCCCTCATTGTGTCTAGTGAAATGAAGCATCTGTACCAGACAATGGCACTGCATCCCTGTGTGTGTTGACAGTGGCCTTAACACCAGCAAATAGTTTGAAAGTAAACCATGTGCTTGGCCCTGCAGAGACTTGACTTTCTCAGGGATTTGAGGATATACATATTCTGCCTAGCATCCTGAACTTTTCCTTTGTGTTGATTTTAGTATTTGCATGGATAGCTTTCCAGTCTGTTCAGTGGCGGTGAAGATTGCCGTGTGGCAGTCTGTGCCGGATGGGATTGCTTTGCCTGCAATGACTGGCTTGCTATGGTAGCCATGCTCCTGGCTGAGAATGAAAAACCTTCCATTTTGAAACGTCAATGAATTGTAATTTCTCCTATTTCAGGAAAGCAGTAACTTTATTTTTTGAAAAATGTTATAGTCCTTGATTTGGGGGTTTCAGATTTTATTACAAATCTTCAATTTTACTTTTTGTTTGTGAGGCATCATCTTCAAAATG